CTGGTAGGGGTGGTGGGGTTGCAATGGTTTTTAAACAATCACTTAATATTCAATCAGTTTCTGTTCGAACTTTTTCATCGTTTGAAGTACAGTGTGTAGCATTACAGTCTACTTCATCCCTGCTGTTCTGTGCTCTCATCTATAGGCCACCTAATGTTGGAAGTACTTTTACTAGTGAGTTTTCTGAATTTTTAACTTTTGTTGCCCCGTTGTATGATCATATGTTGCTACTGGGTGATTTTAATATACTTCTTTGCTGCCGGGGGCGTCCTTTGGTTGCTGAGTTTTGTAATATCTTGGACTCGTTCGGATTTTCTCAACATATAAATCAAGCAACTCATGTTCTTGGTCACACACTTGACCTTATTATGTCATATGGTTCTTCTGTAGTTGATGTTGTCATTGATGATGCTTCCTTCTCTGATCACAAACCCATTCTTTTTAAGGTTCCTGCTGTAACCTCTGCTACTGTGAATAAGCCTGCTGGTTTTTATTCTCGTTTTATAAACTCACTGACTGTTTCTCAGTTCAATGAAGATTATCTAGCTAATGCTGTTGAAAAATCTATCTTGCATGCTGCAAAGGCGTCCTATGGGCCTGACGATTTGATTTCTCTGTTTTACACAGTTTGTTCTAATATCTTAGATTTTATTGCTCCTTTTAAAATGAAACAACCAAAGATAAAATCTTATTACTGGTTGGATGACAACGCTCGCTATCTTAGACAGGCGTGCCGTAAAGCAGAGAGGAGATGGAATGACTGTGTCTACTGTGTCTCTTGAGATTTTTAAAGAGTGTCTGGTTAATTTTCAGAGCGCTGCTAAGTCAAAATATTTTTAATATTTTTCAGAACTGATTACCGCACACTGTCATAGACCTAGGGTTTTATTCTCCACAATAAATTCAGTAATTAATCCGAATTCCCAGTTTTCTAGGGAGCCGTCAGCAGGGCTCTGTGAGAAATTTTTGACATTTTTTGTTGACAAAGCGAGTGCCATTCGCTTATCTTTTACTTCACATCTCTCAGACCTGTCTTTGAACTCGCCTGCTAGTCCATTTTCATTTAGTCATTTTCAACATGTCTCTTTAATGGAACTTTCCGATCTCGTTAACAAAATGAAGTCTACTAACTCCTCACTGGATGTTGTTCCTTCTGAGATCATAAAAGCAGCTTTTCCAGTAATTGGCCCCAGTGTCCAAGTGTTGATTAACTCATCTTTGGACACTGGTGTGGTTCCGAACTGCTTTAAGCATGCGGTTGTTCAGCCTTTGCTTAAGAAGCAAGGTTTGGATGAAAGTTGCTTTAACAATTTTCGGCCTGTCTCAAAGTTATCATTTTTGTCAAAGCTTTTGGAAAAAGTTGTGCAATTACAGCTTATCACATTCTTAAATACAGCTAATTTATTAGAACCTTTTCAATCTGGTTTCACTGCTTATCACAGTACGGAGTCTGCTTTGCTTAAAGTGTTCAATGATATTTTGGTTGCAGTTGATGCCGGTAAAAATGCAGTATTGATTCTACTGGATCTTACAGCTGCCTTTGATACCGTGAATCATAATGTTCTTATTTGCCGTTTAGAACATCTGATCGGTATCAGGGGCACAGCCTTACGATGGTTCAGCTCATATCTCAAAGACAGGTCTTTTTCTGTGGAGCTAGGCAAGTTTTCCTCATCATCTGCCCCAATTATTAGTGGACTCGAGGTTGAAAACGTATTATTTCTCCTTAGCATTTTAATTTTCATTCATTGTGTTATTGTCTGTCTTTTTTATTCTTTTCTGTGTTTCCTTTTCTCTTTTAATTTTATTTTACATTGTTAAGCACTTTGGATAGCTTTGCTATGTTGAAATGTGCTATATAAATAAAATTTACTTACTTACTTACTATTAAATTGTCACGCCTGACTACTTAGTAGTAATACATGCAACATCTATTATTATTATCACCCAAAAATTAAGAGTTCTGTCATTATTTACTCACCCTCATGTTGCTTCAAACCTGTTTGATTTTCTTTCCTCTGTGGAAAGTTGCTCTTTTCTGTACAATAAAAGCAAACAGTGACTCCAAAAAAGAACAAAAAGCACCAGCATTTTTAATTAAAAAGAAAAAAATTATAATAAAATATAAATAAATACAAATTCTAATTCCTGCATTCTATGCCACAAAAAATATATTGTTTTTTAATCTTAATCGGTATACTTGCCTTGTTTCACTGCACAAAATATTTTAAAAACCTTAAATTTGTCTGAAGTAACATTTTTTTATTATAAGATATTAAGGCTTTTTTGTTTTGAGAATGCATCTTAAATGTGTATTTGTCTTGTTTCATTGTTTTATAAACAGTAAAGGTATCAGATGGAAATATCACAGTATTTTGATATATGGGAAGCTGATATGAGATGCTTCTTCAAAGTTGACATTGAATACATCAAATATTTGCTTTTTTTCAAACTTGTCACAGGACCATTGAAATACATCAATGAAGGAAAAAAGTGACTAAAAATAGTGAAAACATGTCAAATAAATGGTGACCATATTAAATTATTAATTTAATTTAATAATTTATGCATTTAGCAGACGCTTGACTTACAGTGCATTCAGACTATACATTGTTTTACCAGTATGTGTGTTTCCTGGGAATCGAAGCCATAACCTTTTGCACTGCTAATGCAATGCTCTACCATTATCATGTTCATTTACCATGGCATTTCTATTCAAAGGTACTTCAAAGATTATATGCTCAATAAAACAAGATAATGATTTGTATTTTTTTAGTTAAAGGTGAAAGCCTCGCATCTATTTTCAACAGATCTACATCTACATTCATTTTTACACACCAGACCAAGCAGAAGGTGGTAAGAGTGACATTAGATTAATCTGACCAGATAACCTGGTGAAGTCCAGTTACCTTCACATTACAACATGGAATGGGTCTATATTGCAAACACGTTACTGCAACATGAGATTTTTCACATTGTTTTGCTCCACACAAATAAAAGGATTTTGTCATACCCTATCCCTTACTGAACACTGTCTCAAACTGAATGTATGTCTTGCATTTGATTTAGATGTAAAATAATAAATTTTTTGCTTCGCTCACTGTCAGTTTCCTCCTCTCTTACACTCTTTCAGCTAGTTTTCAGTGCATTACTGTTTCTGTGTTCCCTGTAGTAATTGTACTGTATTAGACCTGACACACATGTGGACACAGTCCTTAATGGACTACAGAAACAACTACAAAAAGATTTAAAGGGACAGTTTAGTCTTAAAAAGACCCTTACAGGTGGTTAAAGGGGTCATATCATACATAAGTTTTCCCTGAGCTCCACTTATGCTTTTTTGCACCAAAAACTATTTTCTTTGCATGGACATTTTTGACCTGTTCTAACTCTTACAGCAAATTCTGCACAAAAATGTATAGAATATCTAATTTTGGTCAGTCATGTGATAACGTATTAATCAGTCTGACATCAGAAATATTTAGCCCTAAATGTAATATTTACATATTTGAATTGCATATAAAATTTCCGTCCCTTTGGATTACACAGTTCTGATATAAACTAATAAACCTAATGTGGCTAAGAAACGGGTATGAATTCTTCACTTCATTATTATTTTATTAACTATTTGCATCTATTTTACTCCAACAATAATATTTTCAAAATGCATTTATTTGATTTGCTTAGGATCAGAATAAACTGTTCATTGTGAAAACAATTAAATTTATTCAGTTAAAAAGTATAAACATGGTTCAAATATGGCTAGCTGTGGAATAAGCGATATTCGTTTACTTAAAATGTATGAGACTGAAACAAATTGGATTTATTGATTATAAATATATAAAGCTGGTTGTTTAAAATGCATCACATTAAGTTTAAATGAATGGAAATTGTATATGCAATTCAAATACATAAATCTTAAATTTAGGTCTTCAGAGGAGTTCGGAATAAGTTGTTATAGCTTTTGAACATGTATATCATTCTGAAACATATACTGTCAAGGACAGTTTGATTGCTCATGATATGACCCCTGTAAATATGTGGAGACAGAGAAAGAGACACAGACAGATTGGTTTTGTGGTGAAACGGGACAAACACAGACAGAGGCAGAAGAGGCTGTTGCCCATCACAGGAGGAGAAAAGAGGCGTGATTGGGCTACAGTGCTAGTGGCAGCGGCCTCAGCCAATCAGTGAGCCATAAAATGTATGAGACTGAAACAAATTGGATTTATTGATTATAAATATATAAAGCTGGTTGTTTAAAATGCATCACATTAAGTTTAAATGAATGGAAATTGTATATGCAATTCAAATACATAAATCTTAAATTTAGGTCTTCAGAGGAGTTCGGAATAAGTTGTTATAGCTTTTGAACATGTATATCATTCTGAAACATATACTGTCAAGGACAGTTTGATTGCTCATGATATGACCCCTGTAAGAGGCGTGGAGAAAAGAGGCGTGATTGGGCTACAGTGCTAGTGGCAGCGGCCTCAGCCAATCAGTGAGCTGCCAAATGTCACATGTCACAGTGTGCTGCTGGAGGAGGAGGCCAACCGTTTCCCTATGTAAATTCTGAGAAAGACAGACAGACAGACAGACAGAAAGAAAGAAAGAAAGAAAGAAAGAGATAATCAGTCATCTTTTATCTTCTGTCAGACAGCATACGAGTTCTTATTTATGCTCTTTTTTAGGTAACATTAATGCCTGTAATGAAAATGGAAATCAAAAATTAAATTTGTATGGCTCAATACAACATTTTAGAGAGTCTAAACAGCACAAACATTTCTCAATTGTCTGTGATTTATTGCAAACAAGGCATATGGGACTCGGTGGCTGCGACAGGACCCCGGCCTTAAGCAGGGACGCACTCACAATCATATTCAGATTAGATTTGATCTACAGTGATGGGACAGAAGTCACATCTAAAAAGTGTACACTAAGTGTACACTGTTACAAACAATTTCAATTTCAAATAAACGCTGTTCTTTTAAACTTTCTATTAATCAAAGAATCCTGAAAAAAAAATTATCACATTATCACAAAATTATCAAAAAAAAATTATTAAAAAAATTTAAATTATAATAAATGTTTCTTGAGTCTTGAGCAGCAAATCAGCATATTAGAATGATAGAAGGATCATGTGACACTGAAGACTGGAGTAATGATGCTGAAAAACCAGCTTTGCATCACAGGAATAAATTATATTTTAAAAATTTACTCAAATAACAATATTTCACAATATATCTGCATTTTTAATCAAATAAATGCAGCCATGGTAAAAAGACTTAAAAAAAAAAAAACTTATCAACTCCAAACTTTGAACAGAGCATATACACTTGCAGCAGATCACAATATCAGTATGTCAATCATTGCATTTTCACTTCTATATTTCATTCACATGCAGAGCAACAATTTTGGGGATTCATTCATGCATTTAAATGCATAAGCACTCCTAATCACAAACAAATAAAAACAGATTGCTGTCACTTATGGATGGCAAATGTGTAATATATGAGCACTATATGTGTGGCAGTGTATTTAAATTCCAAGTGCTGTCAGTTGTGTGACTTTTAATGCAAATAGGCCTCATGATGGCATAGAAAAGGCATGTTTAAAGGCTCTTTCCCAGTCAACATCAATCATCTTTTGCATTAAAAATCAGTGGTACAGCCATAGACTCGCAGTGAAACATGACTTCAATTGGGCTGTATGGGCCATACGTCCACAGAACCATACACTTTTATTTATGCAGATTACCTTTAATTCTGTAATATATTGAAATGCACAAAAGGCAATATATGCAGACTATTTATACATAGATAAACCTCATTGACACATTTGATGAAAATTTACCGCACATGCTTCCTGTGCAGTCTTAAAGCAAATGATTCGCAATGATATTAAAATGAAAACAGAAGATATGATGAAATATGACATAAGTCTCACCCCAGACCCAGCGTCAGAGCGTGTGAGGCGAGCAGAGAGGGCAGGAGGATGAGGAGCACGTCTGAGGAAAACAAACCCCTCTTCATCACCTCAGTCTTCTTCACGCTCAGAGAGCCGGACTGCTTTGGGTGATGAAACACAAACTCCCTAGAGACAGAAAGAGGGAGATATCAGGGTCATTCAGCAATAGAATCTATAGATATTTCTCTAAATATGCATTTGGAACATGCAACATGTGAGACTGTAAATATATTCAATCCAATCAAAGATTATTTGTACATTGCATTTCTCAATACATATTGTTTTAAAGCAGCTTTACAAATTGCTTGTTTTATAGATACACAATGGAACATAAATGACTATTGAAACAGAAGTCAATGCAGCCTATTTTGCATGGCTTTCAATACTACATTTCTGATTATACAATATTATCAGCATAATTTCAGAGAAGCTGAATTGAAAATGCACAAATCTTTAAATGTCTCATTATTTCTATTTTGCTTTAATGACAGCAGGAAATGGAGCTGTCACGACACACACACGAGGATAACAGGAACTAAGGAGCGAGGAGACGAGGAATATACGTAAACAGTCTTTAATCCATGAGACACAGGGTACATCAACACTGGAGACAGTAGGAAACACATCCACGTAACGAGTAGACCAGACAAAAGGGAAACTGAACAGGCAGGAACTTAAATACAAGGGTAATTAATAGAACACAGCTGAACGGAATCATAATTAAACTAAACAAGGACAGGAAAATGACCAAATAAGGAAACACAGAAAGGCACATGAGGAGCAAAACACACACAAAACACGGACCAGAGTCTGACAGGAGTCTATCACAAGTACAGCTACCTACAGAATGAGAGAATGAGAAAACAGCAGTGCGAGTGTGTATGTGTGTATGTGGGAATGAGAGAAAAATAAAGGAGGAGACGCTATACAATAGAGGAGGAAAAATCTACCTGGCTGTAACATGAGCAGTTTTTTATCTCAGGTCCTGACAGATAAACATGATGAATGAATGAGAGCTGTAGGTTCATAGCTACTTTATTCCACTTAGCTATAAAGCCATAAAAACACAACTAAAAATATGTGCTATGACACAACAGTAAATATAAAAACAATGCAAAACTACCTACTAGCTAGACAATTACACATCTCAACAAAAAAAGACTAATTTATGTTAAACCAATTTTATGACATCAGTAATAATTTGAAGCGCTGCTCTTTGAGAGTCTTGAGATGCCTCCACATAAAAGACTCATACACTGCATTAAAATAAGCGGCCCTTAAAAGTAAATTTTGCTTAATATATATATATATATATATATATATATAGTATATATTAGAACTAGTTTATACTAAAGTGCTTATAAAGACTATAAATAATCTTTGTTGGTAATTACTATGAGTGATAATTCTGTTTTTAGTTGTTACATATGCTGTTTTGTCAAATTATGGTGTTTAACCCAAAACAGCATATGTTTTGGGTTTCTCATATACAGTACTTAACAAACGTGCAATATATAATACCACGTTTACTGGCTCTGCAAGTGAGCCAAAAATACAACTAATAATATCTGCTATGACAAAAAAAATAAAATTACAGACCTATCAGACAACCACACTTGTCTAGTGAAATATAAAACCAATTTTGTATGACATCAGTAATAAGCCACTAAAAGACAGGAAGTAGCGCTGCTCTCTGAGACTCTTTTATATGAATGAACTGCTTCTACAAAGACACACAAATACAAACACTGCATACAAACACACACTCTTGCACGCCTCTTCATATTCAAGAGATCCAGCTGCAGCTCTCTCAAGCAACCAGACTGAATAAATCATAATTGATATCCATTACGTCACATTCCTAATCTCTTTATAACCATTCAGCTAATGAATTTCACACTCCTCAAGTGGAGGAGAACAGAATGATGCCGTTACAGCGCGAGGTGGCTCATACTTCATGGGTGTCGGCGTGACATTATAAATCGTCTCTGTCAAATGGGAAGCGCGGCAGTGCCATGCGAGCTGGGTCAGACAAAGGGATGGATAACACTCTTTGACTGGTTACCTGTCTGGGCCGAATGCATTTTATACAGAGACAGGACAGAGATGACTGATTGGATCTGTGTAGCACAAGAATCCCTCTCACAGAGCAATGACATAAAACAAACAACATGCGACAAAGAGATATCCTATTGGAAAGCACAAAGATTACCCAAACAAATCAACTGAATGAATGTAGATACACTGTATTTTTGTGGTTTTAAGGGGGTGGGTGTCACTGTACTCAATTCACAGTATGCTAGAGCTGACTATTAGGGGTGCTCCGATCAGGATTTTTGAGGCCGATCACCGATCACAAAAAGCAGTAGCTGCCGATAAGATCACCGATACCGATCTTTTTAAAGCCTTATTTTGTAGAATTATTTATAGTAATACTTCAATCAGAAATTTTAGACATTTATTCAGGGCCTGGATTTCATTTTTGAAAATGGGGGGAATTTCCCTCTTATAGGTGACTCTTGTGAGAGGGAATTTTTTTTTTTATTATTTAAGGGGTGGAGGGGAGCATTTTTTAGACATTTTCAAAAATATATATTTATCTCACCTAAATGTTCGATCATGCAGTGCATTTTTGTTTTTACACTCGTGCAATTGTTGCACAACAGCTTACAACACAGCACAAAACAGTTGCTCAAACAAGTGGCAAAACATTTAAAATACTTTTCTTACATTATCACAAACATTCTAAATAAAAAACTTACCATTTCC